TTACTTGGTTTTCGGCGTGTACGTGAAAGGGCCCTTTACGGGCAGCCCGAGATGTCGTCTTCTTTGAAAACCAACCCCCTTGAACTTTTGGCGTCGAAGACCTTTCTCTTGCCACAAGTCCAAGGGAATATTAGTAATTAATTTCAATAGAATTTCACCGAATTTTCTCTAGAATCTTCCTAAAAATCTTGCTCCTCGAAAAATCAACCCTCTAATTTTTTATTCAAAGAATTTTCCAAGAACGAGCCACTTATTAATACAGATTATAAATAATCGTATGCCACGCAACGATTCGAAACGAAATTCCACGTACAGGATTTATAATAATCTACTTAAAAAAAGTAGCATTAAACTGGAGGAAGCACCCCTTTAAGAAAAAGTCCTTGAATATACTGCGAAACGATCCAAGAACTGAACGACAGTTTTAAACGGAACGTTCCTAACAATCTCCCCCAAATGAGGTAAAGGCCACCTTATTGAAACAGGGGTTGCGATTTTTCCGGAGCTCCCCCGACCACTGGCAGGCGGTTAATTGACACTGGAGGGTGGAATGAAGAGGAGGAAGCGAAAGGCGGAGGAGGGGGGCTGGCGTAGGAATCGAGCTGCGCGAGCTGTTCTTGTTAACTCGAATCCTGGCTCTCGCGATTTTTCATCCCCTTAGCCAGACTGACAAAGACCGCCTCTCGGGAGGCACGTGATCAGGGTGTTTTCCTTCCTGGACAATCTCTGTTCGGGATCTTTCGCGTGTTGCCAGTCACCGGATACATTAATTCCCGTCGAAAGAATTCCTCGCGCCTCTTCTTTCTAACTTTCCTCGTGTATGTAAATGAAAACCCGCCGAAGAGCTCGCTGCCGACTTTTCATCCGATGATAAGTGCCGGAGGGGTGGCGTTGATGCATGCGGAACAAGAAACTTTCCAATAGGTAAGTTCATGATCTCAATAACTACACGAATGATACAATGATCCTAATAAATAATTCATTATTATTCCTAATGAAACAAAATGATGCAACACAACTTCTGAAAACATTTAAAAAAATAATATATCAATTTCACTATAATTCTTCAATATAACTAATTACTGGAACAAATCTTCAAACAACTAGAATATTACCCGATAAAATTCAAACAACTTGCAACCCCCATAGTCTCTTCTTGAAAAAGAACAAATAATTTCTAATGGAATTAACTGTTCAACAATTCAGTGCATCATCCCTTGTAACTTCTAAGGGTTGCAGGACAATATGACCAGAATGGCCGCAAGGAAACCCAGTGTGCCGGACTCCTAGGCAGACTAGTCCTTCGGGAGACCATAAAATTCAAGGCAGCCCTCGAGGTAGGCCCGAACGAAATTTAATAACATCCCCCTAGTTACACCTCAATGGGCACCTTAACAACCCCTGCTCGGGCAGCCAGCCGTCTCCCGGCGTTCCCCTTCCCGCCGGCTCCTTATCAACCCCCACGGGCGAAGATATCTAATAAAGCAGGCTCTTGAAACGCGTCTTTATCCGCGGCGGCGATCACAACACCGCCCCGCGCGTACGGGGGCGGTGGAAGTTCAAAAGCTGGCCGACTGACCCCACCGCGAAATGGACGGAGGCGCAACCTGTGCGTCGCGTGACGAACTACCAGCGAAAGGGTTGAAAAACTGCTGGACATGCCGGAATAAACCGATCGATATAAAGGGTGATGTCGGTCGCGGGCTACGGCAACGTGCACGACCCAGTTTCCTGTGTGCACGTGTCGCTATCAACCCCTCGAGGCACGGTTTATATTTCAATTCGAGATTAATAAACGTATTTCAGCGTACAATGCAACTTCGAGCCGAGTTCTTTTGGAATGTTCCGCTTTGTTTTATTTTCCGTTTGTCATTTACGGTTGGTTCTCGTTGGACCGTTCGAATGTAACATGGAAAACAATCATTTCATGGGTGCTCTGCTTCAAACTGCCCGTATCAAGGATGGTTAAAATTTAATTATCATTATTCGGAGGATAATAATATTCGTAACTCACGTGCAGCAGCAAATAAAACGAGTATGAAAATTATAGCGAGATAAGTACGTTGGAAACACCAGAGGGCAAATCCCGAATCTCCACCTACGAGCGTGTTGCTGGCAAACTGGCTGTATGCAACTCAGAAGAGAGTTTACTGCATAATACAGAGTAGATCAAGCGACTTTGCGAACGTGGAGCGGATCAAGTGGCTGTTTATGAGGAATGATGATAGGGAGCAGCTTCTAAACGAGGACTTTTGAGCGATTATGTCATCTGGGGGTTAATATGGAATTGTCATAGTAACTGCATCTCAAAATTCAGCGGAAGACACTCTTCGCAACATCCTCTAGATAAAAACTCCTACGAAACTCATTCCACTTAATCTGTAACACCTACTTGAACAACCTCAACAAATTTCTGACACTCCCACAACTTACACATGCAATTTCAAACACTCCCAAACACCTCCCACTAAACTTCCCCCAAACTACCCCAAAAAAATCTGCAAAAACTCCCAAATCACTCGATCTCAGTTGAAACCAAAGAACCGATCCCACCGAAATATTCACATGCAATTCTAAACACTCCCAAAAACCTCCCATCAAACTTCCCACAAACTACCCCAAAAAATCTGCAAATCTCCCCAATACACTCGATCTCAGTTGAAACCCAAAGAAGCAATCCCACGAAATATTCCCAAACACCTTCAAACCTCTCCAATCCAATCAGTAGTTCGCAAAGGAGCAAAATGATCGGATTACACGGATGGCAAGACGCCGTCCGTTCCTCCGTCGGCCAGGCGCAATAACCGGGAGACGGAACGGTCGCGGGCACCGCGGCGGCGAACTCGCGTTCCTTCATAATTCAATTTGCTGGCAGTTGCACGGCCGCGTAACGACTCGGCTCCTCGCGGCGGCTCCTCGCGACGCGGCGCGGCGCGGCGCGGCGCCGCGTTCCCCGGTTCCCGATTACCGGTGGAACGATTTTATGCAGCCCGCTCGGAAATTGTTGCGTCCGTCCTCGTTAGCTGAAATTACGATGAAAACCCGGCCGGGGGAAAAGAAGAAGCCGAGCGAAGTCGGCGAGAAACCGGGCGCGGCA